TTTTCTTTTTAAGCAATTTGACACTTTTTCCTTTTAATTTTTCTTCTTCCTTCTTCTTCTTCCTCCTCCTCCTCCCCATCCTCCTCCTCCTCCTCCTCCTCCTCCTCCTTCTCCTCCTCCTCCTCCTCCTCCTCAGAGGGCTGTTGTGGGAAAGACAAATCACACAGCCAGTGACCTGTGCTCTGGTGCACTGAACACAGTGCACCTTTATTACTGCTGAGTGCTGGAGGAGACTTAGTGGCACCACTCTTCTTGGGCACATCTCTTTGTCCACAGGTCCCCTGCTTGCTCTCCTGACACCCAGAGTGTGAGATCTGGATTCCAGTCACAATACTATTCCCATGCCATTCTCTGAGTGACAAGAACTGTATGTGAAGCTTCTGATGGACCAGTTCACAGGCAGTGGCTAGACTCTCCTCCTGAGGAGGGACCAGGGGACACAAAGCTCAGTGCTGCAGAGCTGCTTACTTCCTCTCAAGGCCTGCACAGTACACTACAGGAAAAATGGCCCTGAACAACCCCTTCACTCCTCACTTGGCTGAATCTGGCCTAAATTGGGAGAAGATTTTTCTCCTGTTTGGGCCAAGAAACGGCCCTGTGTGGTATCCTTCCCCTTGTCAAATCCCTGCTGAGAACATCTTCTAGGCCACACTGCCTTTCCATCCTTCTAGGCCTGAACTCTCAGCCCTTGTCAGCCACAGGGCCAGGCCTGATGGCCCCCATGTCTATTCCCTTGCTCCAGGGTCTTGGCCTGTGACTTCCTTCTCTAGGGGCTCCCCCACCTCATACATGGACTGTAATACGGCTGTCCATCTGAGCCAACACTGAACCAGTTCTCTTCCGGCTCAGTGGTAATTCTGGATGTGAGCATCTGCCAAGCCACGTCCACCAGGCTGCACTGGCAAAGGACACAGGCAAGGATTCTGGGCTGTGGCATTGGATAGCCCACAGAACAGGAATAGCAGGTCTCAGTCTGTACAGTTTGATGCTTTGCTCACCTATTCCTGGCTCTGGCACATGCAAGGCTCCAGAGCGGCTGAAAGTGTATGTGTCCTTAGTTGAGAGTGACCGTCTCCTTCCTGCCAGGGGAAAGATCCTTGGGCCCTGGGCCTGACTTCCACGTAAGGCATGGGTTCTGCCATGGGAGGGACATGGAGACAGCAGCTTTCCTTTTAAGACAAAGAGATGGCACCAAGAACACAGCTGAGAGAGAGACCTGCAGAACCTCCTAGTGCTCCCTTGCACAGGAACACAGCGAGCTCACCAGGGTCGCCACAGCCTCTGGCCTAGAGCACACAGAGCCTGGGGTGTGGTGGATCTGTGACTATCATCCTACCTCCAGGGATGTCTCCAACAGCCATATTCTGTCACCAGCCAAATGGTTGCAAGGGCAAGGCCGTATATTATGGTGTCATGTGCAAAAGACTGAAAAAACGGAAATAAGTTATGCAAATAAATAGGGGCAGGTGAAGTGGAGCCATGCAGTGGAATATTAGGAGGCTCTCAAAAAAAACGGGGCAGCTCTGAGGTGGAATAACGGGGACGCATTTTTCAGAGAGGAAGGAGAGTGCAGAGCAGCAGAGCAAGCAAGTTTCCGTTCCTGTGCCACACGCAGGTCACACTGCGCTCTGAATCTGCACAGGAATCCGCAGCAGGGATACATAACCCCTGGTAGCTGCTAGGCACAGGGGACAGGAGCTGGTCAGCCCCGGGCCAGCAGAGGCCACAGTACCTGCTTGTTGTTGGGGGTTTTTTTAGTTAACTTTTTATTTTGAGATAATCTGCACACGTGTGTAAGAAGCACTGCAGAGAAATTCTGCTCCCCGCAGTGGTAACAACATCAGGGTATCCACACTGATACAACCCACCAAGCTTAATAGAACAAGTGTCCCTGTGTCAGTGATACTTGTGTGTGTGTGTAAAATGCTGTGCAAATCTGTGACACACGCAGATACGCATATGCATCCTGCAGTCACCCTATAGAGTTGATCTTTACCCCAAAAACCTTTTACTTCAAAGACTCATCCTCCATGCTTCTAGTTATCTCAAATCTGCTCCACGGTTTTATGATTTTATTATTTGGAGAATTTTAGAGAGATGGAATTATCCAACATTCCTTGCTCGACATAGTTCCATAAAGATCCTTCCAAGTGGCGGTGTGGATCGGTGGTTGGTGCCTGTGTATTGCTGAGTAAGAGTCCGTACTCTGGACATCTGTTGAGCCATTGGAAGACTCCACATTGTTTCCAGCTTTTGCTGAGTGTGAACTAAGCAGCTATGAGCATTCACTACAGGTTGGGAGTGAGCAAGCATTTTTGTTTCTCTGGGATAAGTGATAAGAGTATGATCACTAGGAACCTATTTTAAAAGTTACGAGTGAAAAATAGTGCTGTGTAGAAACTAAGCTGGCCCATGGGCCACGCCACCTGCTCTGGAGCCAGCTGGCCTCCTCCTTAGCCTCCTCCACACCGCTGTTCTTAGCGTTATCTCTCACCCCTGACTTGCCATGTCCCTCTCCTACAGCACAGCCCCTGGGACCTTCACAGACAGACTGGAGGGAGAGCAAGGGAGGGTCTGCAGCCAGAGCCACAGACCCCAAGGACACAGGGTCCTCACATCCCCTTTCAGCCACCCACGGCCCTGGCCATAGTCACCCTTATTCAATTCTTCCATCTGCTGCTCCTCAGGCCTCGCTTGCTGAGTACAATCGAGTATCAGGCCAAGGAGCAAAAGCCACCAGGAGCCCCAGAAGGGATGTTCCCCCAGTGCAGGGCCTGGGTTCTGCAGGGCGGTTCTGAGGAAGTTTGCCAATGAGAGTGTTCGAACCCAGGATCATGCACAGCTAATTTTCATCCCTTCCATCACCAGAGAAACTGAACAGTTTTCAGATCCTCACCGGTCACTTGTATTTTAAAACTCCTACTTATGTTTTATGTTTGCTTTTATAGTGTATGAAAACGTTTTATTACTTAGAATTAAATTTCACACTTACTGAAACAATTCTGTAGTTTAGAAATTGATTAATTTGTATCAACCACAAGAATGCTTCACAAAGGAAAAATATGAACAGAATAAACAGCAAAGGTATTTCTTAAAACTTCACAATAAATTTTATTTTTAGATGACAAATAGTAATTGTTCAGTCATCTCTCAGTAACCTTAGGGGATGGCTCCCAGGACCTCAAAGATACCAAAGCCTATGGATGCCTGAGTTCCTCATGGAAAATGCTGCCTTACTTCCATGGAGCTGCCAGGCATCCTCCCATATACTGCAGATCATCGCTAGATGACTTATAATACATAATTCAATGTACATGCTGTGCAAATCGTTAACACTGTGTTATTTAGTAAACAATGATAAGATAAAGGTTTGTACTTTGATTAAGTCCAGGATTGGTGGGACCTGTGAATTTAGAACCCCGAGGTGTGAAGGGCTGCCTGAATACTTATGGAGTACAGTGTGTTCAGATGTGTGCAATGGCTAACTCTAGCCAATGTACATACTCTCACCTCACTTACTTTTGTGTGTGTGCTGAGAATGTTTAAATTCTACTCTTAGCAATGTTGAAATGCATAACAACTATTATTAACTATGGTTACCATGCTGTGCAGATCTCAAAAACGTACCCTCCTGAGCCAGGCATGGTGGCCCAGGCTTGCAATCCCAGCACTCTGGGAGGCTAAGGCAGGAGGATCATGTGTTTGAGCCTAGCCTGGGCAACTTAGTGACTTAGCAAGACCTGGTCTCAAAATAAAAGTGAAAAAGGTCACTTGCTGGCTGTGTCATTTGAGACGGTTGCTCCAGACCCCAAGCCTCAGCTTCCTGGGATGATCAGCCATTCTGTCACAGGTGGTGTATGTGATCTGCCAGCTCCACCAGGGACAGAGTTGAGCGTGTCACAACTGCTGATTCCTCAGTATCCCAAAGGCGGCTCAGAAAGCCAGCTGAGGGGGCATTTTGTGGCCTATTGCTGCAGACAACAGAGTGGATCCTATGGCCTGAGTTGTTTTGCAAGGATGGGGGTTGAGAGACATCCTGTTTCCATTTCCCTGTAGTATAATGGCACCTCTGAGTGTCCGCACACAGTCTTGCACTGGGCCTGTCTTAGGGCTGTTAGATGGCTGGTAGGCATAAGGAACAGGGAGGGCCTTTTGTCAGAAGGCAGTGACCACCACAAGGCACAGCCCTGCTGGCCCTGGCCAGAGGGCCCACTTTGGAAGAAAGGCCAAGCAGCTTTCCCAAGCCTGGGGCTGTGGCTCCTGGGAACTGAGTGTACTTTGTAATTGGCAGTAGCAGAGGCTGCCATGATCTAACTTCCTATGTATCTGACCTCACCTTGTCCCTCTTCAGAGGGAAGAGTCCGCTGTACCTGCCAGTGAGCAAGGCGGACAGGCCTGGAGCTGGTGGGAGGGGACAGCAGGCTGTGCATTTGTGGGACATTTTGTGCAAGTGCAGATGAGACACAGCCTGCTAAAGGAGGCTGTTGCAGACAAAACACACACACACACACACACACACACACACACACGCACACCACAAAAGCAAAACCAAAACAACAAGAAACACCTTGGCCAAATGACAGAGGCAGTGCTAAAGTCCAAAGTTAGGCAGTAGGGCCCAGCCTTCTTAAAAGGACTTTACTCAGTATCTGAGGGAAAAGGAGGCATAAGCAGCATGTACCCAACAGATTCCTGGGACAGCCCCAAACCCTGCACATATTCTCATAGGAAGGGCTCAAAGTCAGCCTGGGTGGGGCCCACACCTCTCTAAAGGAGGGAGACAGCTGGCCATGCTGAACCAGTTCTGACTGTGCAGAGCAGCCCTGTTCCCCGCCTCCCTCCCCGGGGCCTGGGCAGGTGCTTGCAGTTTGCTTTACTCTCTAGTTTTTCCAGGAGTAAGATAAGCCCAAGCCCAGCTCGGCTCTCTGGCTTCTCCATTCACTTGCTGGGGGCAGAGCCCCAAGCAGGGGTTTCTCCCTTTGACCCCATTTCCCCAGCCCAGCAATAGTGTAGCAAAGCACTGGTGTGTGTGTATGTGTGTGTATGCGTGCACACGTGGGTGTGTTTCACCTGAATTCCCAGCAAGTACCTGGGTCCCCTTCTGCATCCCATAGCACACCCCTGAGGGATTGGCCAGGCCATCCAAGACCCAGAAACCACACCGTCATTTATTTGAACAGGGAACATTTAATAAAAGAATCATCAGCTGTGCATGGGAATTGCGTCCAAAGAATTTTACAGAGTATCCTGAGGTTGAGGGCACTGTCCCTGGTAAGAAACACTCTAAAGGGTGGGACTCCTTGCTGGAGAAGGTTCAGCCAAGGCCCTTGGATGATGACATCCTCTGGGCCATTTGTGCTAGAATCTGTGCCTTGTACAGGGTAAGCTGTGACACCTTGTGCAGAGCACATGGCTGAGGCACTGAGTGGTGCTCACAGGGAGCTGAGCCCTGCCCCCAGATGTCGCCATGACACACCCCTGGCAGTCAGCCGTGCAGTAGGAGCAAGAAGGAAACAATCACCAACCCCATTCTCCAGCAAGTGTCCCTCAACACCCTCTGCTAACTCACTGTGTGCTCTTCAAAGGAGCACTGTGCCAAAATCCCAGCCCATTATGACAGGGCAGGTGCCAAACGGCAATCTGAACAACTTACACACCTCATAGATCCCACTTCTACTTTTATTTAGCAAGAATAAGTACAGTACTAACCACAGGGAGCCGGAAGGTAGCCTGGTGAGCATCAGATGCTCCTTTGTCTGGGCAGTGTGGCACCCTGCACTTCTGATATAAAGAAACTGTTACAAAAGGGCCATTCCAAGTGACCAGGTCACCTTCCTGCCCTTTCTGCTGGTGGGAAGGCCCCTGGTGTAAAGTGAGAATTCCCCTGAGGAAGGGGGACAGGAAAAAGCGCTAATATCAAGTGGACACCTGCCAAGTGCCAGGCTCTTTCCGTTTTATAGATGAGGAAACCAAGGCTCTGGAGGGTACATGCTCCCATCGTCCAGCTCCACATGCTTTTTTACAGCCTGTCAACCCTGAGGCTGCTGAGGGACAGTTCCTTAGAAGATGCCAGGCAGCAGGCGGTAGGGCACGGTGGCAGTGTAGCGTACCCAGTCCCTGCCATACTTGCTGGCACAGCGGTGTTCATCTCGGAGGCAGCGATGGGTCAGCAGGATGGTCATGTAGATGATATAGAAGTAGGGCAGGAGGTGGCCCCCGCCACAGGCCAGGCAGTAGGCCAGGCTGCCCATCAGGTCACCAGTGTAGTTGAGGTGGCGGGCCACACCCCAGAAGCCTGACACCAGCAACTTACTGTGATGCTTCTGGCCATCAGCCGATGTATACGTGCACTCAATGGCCTTGGGTTTCTGGCCCCAGATGAGGCAGCGCCCATCTGTTCTGCGGAACAGGTCCTTCTGATGGTTGGCCATGCGGAAGATGTAGTAGCCCAGGAGGCCGAGCACCAGGACACCCACGGCATGAGGGGTGGAGAGCTGCACAGGGTGGTACACTAGATACAGGCCCTGGGAGGTGAGAAGGACATGGTGAAGATTGGCCATAGCACATAGTGAGTAGGAGCAACTCAGGAGTCCAGGGCATGTCCTGGCACAGTCTCCTACTCTCATATATATATACATACACACATACATACATATAGTGCATAGGCTCCTCAACTTACAATGGGACTAAGTCCTAATAACCTCATTGTAAGTTGGAAATAGGATAAGGTAAAAAAATGCATTTAATAGCTGGTATGGTGTCGTACTCCTATAATCCCAACACTCTGGGAGGCTGAGACAGGAGGATTGCAAGTTCAAACCCAGCGTGGGCAACTTAGTAACAACCTGTCTCAAAATAAAAAAGGGGCTGGAGACAACTCATTCAATCCCTAGTGACATACACATAGACACAGATACACACACACACACACTCACATGCCCAGCATTTAATACACCTGACCTTCTGACCATCCTAGCACACTAGAGACCATGGCTGTTGTCACCCCATGTGCTCATGTGGCTGACTGGGATCAGCAGCAGCTGCCTCAGCCCAGCACTGCATATTATAGCACCATCCCGGGATAAGGTTAAAACTCAATATTCCAAGTACATTTGCACTGAATGTACATCACTTTCACATCATCATAAAGTCAAAAAATTATTAAGTTAAACCACCACAAGTTGAAGATTTTCTGTGTATCATATACAGTACAAATGTGAAATACATAACATGATACTAGATATAAAATGTAATGTAAATATAACATGGTGATGGTCAGTTTCAGGTGTCCACCTGGATAGGCCACTGTATCCAGATATTTGGTCAAAAACTAGTTGTTGTGAAGGTCTGTTTGGATGAGATTAATATTTAAAACAGAGCAGATAATTCCCCATAATGTGGGTAGGCCTCAGCCAATCACCTGGTAGCCTTAAGAGAAAAAGACTAATCTCCTTCAAAGAGGGAACTCTGCCCACAGACTGCCTTCCAACTTGAACTGCAGTGTCACCTCTTCCCTGGGCCTCCGGGCTGCTGTAAACATTGGGAACCTGCCAGGCTTCACTATCACATAAGCCAAAAAATAAGTAAATCACACTCATGCACACACATACTCTTCCTCTTGATTGTTTCTCTGGGGAATCCTGATACAAATATAGTATGAAAAATGTACATATTTAATGTGTGCAGTTGTCTCTTGGTATTTATGCATGGGAGCTGGTTCCAGGACAACCCTCAGATTGCAAAATCCATGGGCGCTCAAGTTCTTCATATAAGGTAGCATAGTATTTGCACAGAACCTACAAACACACTCGTGTATTCTTTAAACCACTTCCACATGACTTATACTCAATACAGCATAAATCCTATGCAAATAGTTGTTACACTATATTGTTTAGGGAAAATGACAAGAAAAAAGTCTGTACATGTTTAGTGCAGATGCAATTTTTAAAAATACAAGTATTTTCAATTCATGGTTGGTATGGAGCCTGTGGATACAGACACCAGCTGTCTACAAGGCCTGGGCTGCAGCAAGAGTATGTAAGATCTCTTGCCACAGGTTCACAAGCCTGGAAACGGAGCCCACAGAACCAGAACACCAGCGAGACTGCAGCCAGCCAGGTGGAAAAACAAGGCAGGCTAGGTAGCTCAGAGCCTCGAGGGTCTGCAGTCTTATGGGCATGGGGCTGCACGTGGGCCCTGAACCCCCTCACACAAGTAGCCAAACCCCTCACCCTTCTTTGCTGGCTCACATCTTGAGCAGCTGGTGGATTCCCACACTGGTTTTCTTCCCTCCCATAGAACCTGTCAGGCATCTCTCAAATCTTCAGGTCTGCTATTATGGAGTGGCAAGGATTTGGTAGCCAGGCCTCTCACAGCCCCCTCTGCCTCAGGGACCCAGGCAGCCCTGCAGGGTGCTGGCAGGTCCCAGGGGGTAAGAATGAAGAGCCCAGATGAGTGACCACACTGGCCACCCCACAGCTCCGTCCGGCCCGCATGGGGGTTGCCTGCCTTGGCTTTGCAGAGATGACCAGGGATGTGCTCTCGGTTCCCTCCCCTGACTGATGGTCCCACCTAGGGGCAAACCCAGGTCCCTCTGACACCCCAAGCAGACTACAGACTGAATGGCTGGACTTATGGTGGAGTGAAAGCTACCCACAGCCATTCTAAAAGCTGATTACTCTCGGTTCAGTGCCCAGCACATCACGTGAGGCTGGCAACATTCAGAACAGGCTTTGTGTTAGATGACTCTGCCCGGCTGGGAGCTAAGGTAGGGTTATGGTGGGCAAGGTCAAGCTATCACTGCTGGGTTTTTGCTTTTTGATATTTTCAACATATGAAGGGTTTTGAGGACATAAGCCCCCCTTAAGTTGAGGAGCATCTGTGGTACACAAACCCTTCCCTTCTTCCTAAAAGCGGGGCAGTCCATGGACAAAGGTTTCCGTAAGGAACAAAGCTTAGCATGTGGTACAGTGTCTGCTCAAGGTCAATATGGGGGAGCCTGAGGACTAGGGTCCACAGACCCAGCCACCACATCCTAGAGGGACTTGCTCTGCCACTCTGGCCCGCCTCACCTGCAATGTGTACAGGTATGGCAACCACACACAGTCACCCCAGCCCAGGTACCAGCCAAAATGGTCATGGCAGATGTCAATGGTCTTCAGGTACCAGGTTTCGTTCCAGAAGAAGTCCAGCACATAGATGCCCTGCAAGACAGGAGTGCCATTACCTCAGAGCTGTTCCTGCACTCTCTGCCATGCCTGTGACATGGGGAGTCCCTGTCCTCAGAGCCTGCATTCATCAGAGGACAAGCAGGGCCGCATATAGTCAGAAGGGCTTTTGCTTCTGGGAGGCAAAGCCCAGCGCCATGGAGCTCCGAGCACAGCAATGGCTCAGGGCAGGAGAACTTGGGAAGTGCCCAAGGATGTGGCTCCAAGTGCCACAGTCCATACAGCAGAGAAACCCATTGGCTGAGAGATCTGCAGTTTGCCCCATCAACTGCCCCTTAGCACCATGAACACACAATACATGGCTGCATGACCAGGTGACTGTTGTGCCTCCCCAGGGCCAGGAGACTGACATCCACTCACACAGGTGGACAAAGGTGAAAGTGAGTCCCTCTCACCACTCCTCACCCCTCAGAGTGGGACCTTGTGGAGCAGACACTGCAGAGGCCATAAGCTGTGACTGGCTGGGACCTTCCAGAGAGACCAGAGCCGTGCAGGTGTGCCCTGGCCTAAAAGGGTGAGATCCTCCACATGGTACTCTTTTTCAGAGAGGGAGCAGCACCCTAGCACAGGACCTGGGATGGGTCCATGACGTCCACACACAGGCTCTGCTGTTCAGGTCTCAGGTGTGCTGGGCACTTTCTCAGGTGTGGTGGGCACTTAGCCCAGCAGGGCTGATCCCCAGACTCCTGTGGCCATTGGCCCCCTGCCATGGCCGTTCCTTCTTCCTGGGACAGAAGGAGCCACAGAGGAGGAAGACCACAGGAGACCACATGGTGGCTGCTCCAGAAGAGAAGGCCCTTCATCATCCACTGGATCACAAACTCAGCGAGGCCCAGCCCTGGGTGTCCCACCCAGCCTACATCTTCAGGTCCTGGAGAAGCACCTACCACAGGCCACCCACATACCAGAGTTTCTGGAAGGTGTAGATTCACCCCTACTCAGACCCACCTCTGCAGTCCACCCCCAGCCCAGCATCCAGGTCACCCTGCCCAGGCCACACCCTCAGTCTCCTGACTGGCTTCCTTCTCCCACCCAGATGTGCCCACTCAGCAGCCAGTGACCTTTCTGGACATCCCATGCCATTACTGTCCTGCTTGGGACTCCTTCCCAGGGTCTCACTGCTTTTGACAAAAAGATGAAACTTCTAAAAGGTCCCGGATAGCCAAGCCCTGAGCTCTCAAGCTCTCTGCTCAGGACACAGGCCTGTCCTCAGTTTCCCAGACTTGCTGTCTCTCCCAGTACAGGGGCTCTGCACAGGCCACTCTTCCTATCTGGAGCACCTTTCCTACTTCCACTCCTTACCTGGGAACCCCTGTGCCCAGATCCCACTTGAGTATAATCCCCAAAGGAGACCTCCTCAGACCAGGCTGGGCTGTGCTGCATCCACCTGTCCCTTCCTGCTGGGCATGCAATGACGGATTCTTCCGCCACAGACTGACTGTGAGGCCCAGGAAGGGGTGGACTCTGAACAGTAGGGGATTAGAGATCAGGGAATTAGTTGGCTTTTGGGTTTTCCTACTGGGCAGGCATCAGAGCTGCTCTACTCTGGCTGCAAATGGACTTTACCTGCAGGATGTTGACCAGGACCATGGAGTTGGTCACCTGGCCATACAGCTCCTGCTGCTTCGCTGCGAAGGACAGGTTGATGAGGGTCCACGCCACAATCCCAGGGCGTCCATTGAAGAACAGCTTGAAGTCAAACCACTTCCCGATTCGAGGGTTAAACTCAATGCCCATCATGTAGTTGTAAAAGAAGTTACCTGTGAATTTGCTTAAAAATAAGGGCACAGATACACTTGGTGAGGAATTCCTGCCCCGGGCAACCCAGGCCCCACAGAGTGGGACTCAGTGTCCTCCGATTCCCTCCCTCACTGACTGCACTGGGTGCTTTGCGGTGCCATGGATGTCAACAATTATAAGCTTTACTCATCAGCGATTCATAACATTAGCACAATAGCCAAACTTGTCTTTCTGGCTTCTCTATTCCCATGATACGTAGAGACAGGTAATGACTTGGCCAGCTTCAGCTATATTCTTCCCAAGGCAGGAGAAACAACCAGACATTTAGGAAGGACGTTTCCCAGATTCAGGCAAGTTCTATCCACCTCCTCCTTCAAGGGCTTTCCACCCTCCCATCCCAGGGCATCAGACACAGGTCAGGGCGAAGGCATTCACTTTTCTCTGGGTTTGACCAGATACTAAAGGACGTACCAGTCTTTGGCATTGGTGGGGAAAAGGTAGCCCTTGACCATGGCAAATGTGGACACAGTATAGCCAAGGATGTTGGCACACCACAGAAGTGGGATCCAGTTGTCAAAGATGATGGTAGGTGAGAACCAGAACAGGAAGTGGGAGTTAGCAAACCAGAACAGATGTGTGATGAGCCAGGCTTGCAGGCCATTGACCTCGTACTTGTTGACAATCCCTGCAGAGGGAAGGTTTAAAAATCAAAGCACTTTCCTGACCTGGGTCAGGTCACTTGGCCTGGCTGTGGTGCCTGGCCCAGGCCCTTGTGGCTCTGTGAGCCTGTCCCCCTGGAACCACCCCAGAAGCTGGTCTGCTCATGCAGCCCTCCCAGGCTGTCAGGCCAGCGGCAGCCCCCATGGCAGATGGAGGGGCTGACTGCTCCTGCCAAGTTCTGGGAGCCTCTGGTTCTCACTGTCCCCAACCACCACTGCCTGAGCAACAGGTCTCCAGCTTGTTAGAGAGGCTGGGCCAGCCAAGTGGGGTAGGCAGAGTGGGGCCTCCCTAAGGGGACTCAGGTTCCCCTTGTGATTGTTCTTTGTGGGCAGAGTTGCAGGTGCGATTCCCACCTGCACCCCCATGTGTGCACAAAGCCAGGCTCCTCACAGGTTCTCAGTGACAAAGAAGGAATGGGGTTGGGTTGGGGCTGGTTTAGGAGGCTGCTGCAGGGAGGGAACTGGGGGTCAGGCAGTTCCCTCCAGACTTGGGGAAGAGGTTTCCAGCCTGGGACAGCCTAGCTGCCACGCCTTACCTCACCTCCAGACCTGGTGTTATGGAAGATTTCCAAGCTACACTGATTTTATCTTGTTAGCAGTCTATGGAATGAATATATGTGGTATAGGGAGCTCAGGACCCAGACTTGAAGGCCCTGGGCAGCACTGCCGAGAGGCCTACCAGCCCACCAGCCCACCAGCCCACCAGCCCACCAGCCTGAGAGCAAGGCCCAGTCCAGGGACAGACACGATGCATGTTACCTGCAGGTGTCACCGCGCCCTCCTGGACTCCTCCCACGTAGCGTGGCAGGAATCTGTGGCAGAAGTCAGGAAGTAACATGTACAGAAGCACCTGAAACACAGGATTTGGGCCCAATGACCGGCAGCCTGCAGAACACAGGTGCTTGTTCTGATCTGGCCTGGTTTTTATCTGCAGCAGAGCAGGAGCACGAGACATCAGAATGTGGCCTTAAGCACCAGAAGAGCTCATGGCTGCTGTGAGCTCGGGCTGCAGGGGGAACAAAGGGATGCATGTGCAGGAAGCTGCTTTACCACTCTGTGCAAAGCCTTCTCCCGGCCATGGCCTCGTGACCCCTCAGGAGAACACACCGGTCCTTCCTTGTCCCCTTCCAGGGGACTGTATGAAAAACTTGAAGAAATAATTTGCACACTATAAAATCCACTCTTGCAAGGCCAGCCTTTGGTGTACTTAGGAGGTTGAGCAACTAGTGCCGCTACCTAGTTCTAGAACTTTCTCATCACTACAAAAGGGGAACCACGTTCCCAGTGGCAGCTGCCTCCATTCTTCCTTCCCCCCGAGGTCCTGACAACCACTGATCTTTTTGTCTGTATGGATTTACCTACTCTGGATATTTCACATAAATGGAATTACACAAGACACATCATCTATGACCAGCTTCTGTAGCTCAGCATAGCACTTTCAAAGCTCATCCACATTGCTGCATGTATCAGAACCTCATTCCTCTTCACACCCTAATAACATTCAGGGATGGATGGAACACTCAGTGTTTAACCAGTCCTCTGCTGATGGAAAACTGGGTTGTTCCCACGCTGGCTTCTGGGAATGTTGCTGCCCCCTATCACTTCTTACCCAAAGCACCAGGAGACCTCAAGGGAAGGAGTCTGAAGCCCAAGAGGTTGGCCCTAGGGAGAAATAGTGGACCCTGGTGCAAAGCCTTCCTTGCACCCGGAGGCCAGATGCTGGGTTCAGACACAGAGCAACTCTGCTGTGTCTGGCCTGGTCCACTGCGAAAGCTGTCCCTTCCTGGTGACCTTTAGACCATGACTGCACAGCTGCATGCTGGGAAACATTAGTCTTGGCTTTGCTGAATAGTATCCCTGTGAGGGCTGAGACCTCCTTCCCACAAGCTAGTGTAGGATCTGGTCCCAACTGTGTATGGGGCTTCCCTGGGCCACCTGTGCCCTCTGGTCCTGTTCCTACTCCCCAGCCTGCCTCAGTAGGGGTGGGCACATTCCCAAACCCAGCAAGGCACCCCTACCTGAGATGCTGACAGGTGCTTGCTGCCCTCTTGCTGACGATGGCACTAAGCGTGTCTGATTCCAGATAACACCCTGCTGGGTGCCGGGAATGTGAAACCCATCCAAGTCAGGACAAAGGCAAGGCAATGTTATAGGCAGGTACGCTCCCCACCACTGTGTCCCAACCACAAGGGTAGGGGACTGACCTGGAAGGTGACCCACAAGGTGTAGATCTTGGCAGCTTTCATTGTCACGGGTAGGGTCTTGGCCCAGATGTCTGCAAGACTGGCATGACCAGTGATTACATCCAGCACAGGGGCGGTCAGAGAACAGCTGTACTGGTCACATGCCATGATGAAGTAGTACACGATGAGGGGTGCAAAGAGCAGCAGGAAGATGACGCTGGCCAGGGAGAACCAGTCCACTTCCCTGCAAGGAGGATGTGGGGGTCAGAGGAGGGCCCACCTGTCCTCTGAACTCACAGGGCACTCGGAGACGCCCTCACATTTGGGACTGTAATTTACACCATCCAGCACCTTAGAAGAATGGGTTGCTGGCTGTTTGTATAAAGCTCCCCACTGCAAGAGGAGCCACTAACCTGCTGCTCTGCTGCCTGCCAGCAGACCAATCTATGGGCAACTGTGCAAAGGCCAGGATACAAATACAGGGACCTTAATGACCACTAAGGCCAGTGGCTTCCTTGGCCCAGCCCCTACCTGCGTGCTCACACAGCTCAAAGTGAACCAAGTGAACCATGGCAACAATGAGGACACCTTGAGGTCCATACCCTCTCTGCACTGTTAGTGATACAGGTGGAGCATCCTTACTCCCAAAATGCTCCAAAATCTCAAACTTTTTTAGCACCAACTTGATGCCACAAGTGGAAATTTCCACATCTGACCTCGAGTGACAAGTCACATTCAGAACACAGGAGCACTAAGAATATGGTATCATGTTACCTTCAGGCTATATGTATAAGGTGTTCGTAAAATATAAATTAATTTTGCATTTACATTTATGTCCTTCTCCAAGATATTTCATTTGCATACACAAAATTTCCAACATCTGAAAAAAATTAGAAATCTGAACCACTTCTCAAGCATTTTCTTGCTTTACATTCCTTTTTAAATTTTTTACTTCATAAAGTAAACCACTGCTTATCTTTCATAACCGACAATAAAAAAGGAATTTAAAAAAACGGGTCTATAACATCCCCAGGGCTGAAAACCTCTAAGACCCCACACCCTTACCAGGCTCGACCCCATTGTCCTTGAGACACAGCGTTGCCATTGGTGATCCTCCCCACGTTCCCAACTTTGGGAGCATTGGGCTGGGATTTTGAAGCCATTGGGTCCTGAGAGAAAGAGAAACTTTGCTCAGATCTTCCCAGAGAAACGATTCCACCTTCCTGCTGCATCCTACAGGGCTTGGGCCTTGTGTTGCTGGCCTCCTCCACACACCTTCTCAGGACCTTGACCCCACAGTAGATTCCAAGTGGGGAAGAGATCCACCTGCCCTCGGCTCTCTCCTGAGCCTGTGATTCGGTCCTACCTGGTCCTCCCATGTCTGTTTTGTTCCCTCTGTCCCAAGTACACAAGGTCTTCACTCATCCTTGAGTACTGATCACCTCGTCCTGGGACCTGCTACTTCCTTGGCTTAGAACACCTTTTCAGGTGGCTTTGTTTAGGACTTACGTAAAGTGTCCCCTCTGAAGCAGACCTCCCCTCACCAGCCAATCGAATGTGATTCCTCTCCAGGTTCCCAGTCAAGGCACATGACCTGTTTAATTTCTGAGCAACTCTCCTTACCATGTAGCATTGTTTTATTTGTGTTTTTATGGACCATCTGTCTCCCTCCACTAGAAGGCAAGCTTCCTAGGGGCAGGCATGATGCCCTACTAACCACTCCACCCCCAGGACCTAGAAGAGTGTTTCTTCTATTGTGTCTCTATTGAGAAGGGTGCCCAATAATCATTCTACCAAAGGAAGGGGGAAGGAAACAGAACTTCTTTAGGTACCACAGCTGCTCTAGATGGTTATAATTTGGAGACTGCAGTAATGCCCTCACTTCCAAAACAAACTCAGTTTATAAAGCTCTAAAATACAGGGGATTTTAAAAAGATTATCTTATACCAGGCACAGTGGTGGACAGCTATAATCCCAGCAATCTGTGAGGCTGAGGCAGGATTGCAAATTTGAGCCCAGCCCAGTCAATTTAGTGACTTAGAACTTGTCTCAAAATAAAAAATGAGACTGGGTTCAATCTCCAGTACCACACACACACAAAAAAAGAGAGATAATCTTGAAAGCAGAGAAAGCCAGGATTAAGCAATATGGTACCCCTGAACTTCTCAAAAGCAAACTAGATCCCAGATGACAATAGTAGAACAATTTAAAACTCTAAGGGAAACTTTCTCAATCTGGGATTCTATTCCCAGGTTAACTATTTTGTTTTCAGTTTTTATTTTTTTATCACTACATGTTTATAGTACATAATGATTACATTCCTCATGCAGAGTTGGTACAGTATATAACACATCTTGATAGGCAGGGACCACACTTATCTGAATGGCCCCCCCACACAGAAAGCTTGGCATAAACAAGAAAAAGGCTCCTGAGAAGTATTCATTCTCTAGCAACTCTGGTTGGGCCAGGTTGCTTTTTTTGCAATACTGGAGACTGAAACCAGGGCCTTCATACTGAACTGTATTCCTCAGATCTTATTTATTTTGAGACAAGTTCTCACTAAGTCACTAAATTGCCCACACTGGGCACAAATTTCTGATTGTCCTCCCTCAGCCTCCCAGAGTGCTCAGATTACAGGCATGGACCACTGTGCATGTCTCCAGTTTGGTTTTTTTGGGGTTTTTTTTGGTACTGGGGATCAAACTTGGGACCTTGTACTTTTGAAGCAGGTGCGGAACCACTGAGCTAGTAAATAAGATACTGAGCCAAAGTGCTCAAGGTCACACTGGACCTGCCCTCCAAGTGCTCATCTAAGACTCAGCTCTCACCTGTACAACCATCAGCACCAGCCAGGGCCCAGAGGGCTCATCCTGGTAAGAATGGCAGAGGCAACTATAAAATCAACAGGCCAGGACGGCCTACAACAGTGAGCCTCAGGGCATTCTGGTTGGCAATCACATAGCAAATCACTGGAGCTCAGTGGCTTTAAACAAGTTTTTCCATCATCTCTCATGGTTTCTGTTGGTCAGGAATTTGGGGAGAGATGGTTTGGATAGCAATGGCTTAGGTCAGGGCTGTAGGGGCGCCTCACAGAGTGCAGTCAGCTCTGTGCTAGGGGCCCTCTCCTGCGGTCTCCTAGGCAGCTGGCTTGGGCTTCTCACAGCACGGTGGCCTCAAGGCAATGAGATCATTACAAGGAGGGTACAGGGAGGGTTCCTCAGGCAACACAGAAGTGTTTTTTCTGACCTGACCTCTGAAGGACAAAACATTACTCCCACCAGACACCATTGCCACAAGTTCACCGTCATTCAAGGGCAGGGGAATCAGATGGGAGTGGGGCAAAGTTTTAGAATATGAGCTTTTGCTGGGGCCCTCCATGGATGATACCACCTGTCACAGACAGCTACTCAGCATCTACCAAATGCCAAGCACCCATTATCTCACTGAAGCCTCATACTCACCTGGAGAATTAGCACTGTTATGCCCATTTTATAGTTGAGGAAGTTGAAGATGAGAGAGGTGGGATAACTTGTTCACTGCTATCAGACCTTCAGGGACAAAGATGGGTCTGGGGGAACTCCACCTTCTGAGACACATTTGGGTGGCTGTGGAGTAAAATCTGGAGTAATGAGGATACTGAGAGCTAACAGGAACACGTTTACTGGGTTGGAACATTACAGGAATAGCAGAAAGTCCAATTCCTGAGGAATGGAAGGGGAATGAAAGACAGAAGGGGCCAGGGATTTAGCTGAGTGGTGCACTGCCTGCCTCACAAGAGCAAGGTCTTGAGTTCGATCCCTGCTGCCAAAAAAAAAAAAAAAAGACATAGACATGTCCTCAACTAGAAATCAAGATAAAAACAATGACACAACTAGAAATGGGCAAAGGGGTGGGAAGCCCCTCTTGTGTGAGGATAGCTTTAGAGGCCAGCCAGCACATAGCAGCAGGAATTTACTCTGGGAAATATATTCAGAGGGTTGCATAAACAAGAAGATGCAAGAACTTCCATGAGTCTGTGTATACATGTGCAATATAATGGAAACAACTAAACGACGATCTGAACAAGAACAAGGTCACTCTACCAGTATCAGCAAGACCCAGCCCCTGCCACGTCACAACAGAAGGGCAAGTCGTCAAATAGATCATTTAAAAGACTATTTTAAAAGCTACACAGCAAAACCTTAAACAGTGTTGCAAACATGGGTGTTTGTTTTTTCTCCATTTTTTCCTTCTTTTTCTAATTTTTTATACATATATTTACATGATAAAATAATTTAAACAATGAAAACTTTTTCTGGGAACATCTGTGGCTCTTATGTGGGTCACTGAGGTCATCTGGCCCCACTACCATACCCACAGTATGGTCAGGCTGGCTTTTGGGGTAACCCTTGGGTTGTTCTCCCCATGCCCCCACCACGGCAAAGCCACTTTTCTAAATGCTCGCTCGGCTCTCCATGTCTGGCCCCATAAAGCTCTGGCCCAAGAGAGCTCTAGCCTGACTCTGGGGGCCTCACTTACCTACAGGGTTGGTGTCCCTGTGGGAAGTGGTGGTTTTTGAGACATTCGGAAACAGGCATGAACCCTACCTGGAAAGAAATGCCCAGAAACCCTGGTCCCTGATTTTTCAAGGTTGAACTCCAGTTAACTGAAGCTACAGAGGTTCTGCTTTTCAGAAGTCACAAAGTATACGCTCACCATAAGAGGAATTTCTAAGTCATTTATGAGGGGAAAATCTTTTCTCTTTCTTCCAATCCATCCCAGGTGTCATTAAACCATCCTGACGTTTAGGGGGAAAGGTGTCCTGCAAGTGGAATGCCTTACTATCCTCCTCACTCCTGTCCCTGCCACCAGCCTGGTAGCCTCCAGAACCTTGGAGCTGTTCAAGCCACCACCCGGCCTCTCTGTCCCCCAAGATGACCCAGTCCGTCACTCCAGCTATCCAATACATATATTTTGGGGGACAATGAGACTATTCAAAATTTCACTGAGAAAGGATTCACTTAGTTGAGCTCAGAAGGAAAAGGCCTACCTAGGGTAACAGGTGGGCCATGGTGCACCCCACTCCCTGAGCACCGGCAGCTCCTCGCCTGTGAGCTGGACCCTCGCCCTACTGCGCGACCCTCCCTCACCGGCCCATGGGCTCCAGCTAACCTGAGCGCGGGTCCACCTCATACCTGCTTGCAGGCGCCCCCTGCCCCCCTAAACAGCCATCCCGGTCCTACCCGACGCACACGACCCCCACCTGCGTACACGGACGCTGGTCCGTGCGCCTACTCCGCTCCGGTGGACAAAAGCCCGCTGCAGGCCAGAAGCCAATCTCTCCACCTTGTGTGAGCCCGAGGCCCCGCCCCCAAGATGACGTTTACGATAGACGACCAATCGGAGGCTGGTCCTGTGCGGTCGGCGGCCCTGCACCAGGCGATTGGACTCGGAGTCTGAGCGGACCAAGGGCCCGCCCCACGAGCCACTCGGCGGCCGCAGATACGAGATTGACAGCCCGAGCCCGCCCCGAGCCCCGCCCAGGTCTCTACCCTAGAAGGATGCCGGGTTGTAACCTGGGGCGCCTTGGGATCTGCGCTGGGCGGGACGGGGCTGGGGACTCGGGACAGGACCGTAGAAGCCACGTGGGCTGCTCTGAGAATGCGCCAAGTTAGTACATTTACTGGCAAAGTGGGTGTGAGAATCCTGGTGCCTCAGTTTCTGCCTCTCCAAGGGCTCTTAACATTTATGGAGGATCTGGTGTGTCCAGCAAAGAGCAAAACAGAGGAAATCCCTGCTCTTGGGGCTGACGTTCTGGGGGCAGGGGTGCACATAAGTAAATATAGAGATGGAGGGCGGTGAGAAATGATACCGAGAAAGACAAAGCAGGGTGAGGAGACAGGAGTGTGGCAGAACAGCAGTTTTATGCAGGGGTGTCCTTGGAAGGCTCGCTGCTAGGAGACCTTCCCTGGCTGGGCTGCCCAGGAAGGGACCCAGTGGTGGAGCTTGGGATAGGTCGTTATGAGGGATTACCATGCCAGGATGGGGGAGGGGGAAGCAGTAGGATTGAGCAAAGGGGTAAGTTGAGCCAGAATGCAACCCAGACCGCTTGGGCTGTAGGGAAAAGATCCCCTGAGCCCTAGCCACAGTAACGCCATTTTGTAGTAGGCTGCCATTTAGATGGCCTGTGGGCTCTGCCAGGTGCTGAGGCTGCGTGCCAGACTACAGCAACAAAGTCATTCATCAGCGCCTTGACAGTGTTAGCTGAGACTAGTAGAATTCCTGAGAAGGATGGAAACGGAATACACATAAATACATAATTCTTCCCATGGATTCTGGTCTTCCGGTTTTTTTGCTGTGTGACCGAGAGCCATGTGTAAACAGGAGCTTAGTAAAGGAGAGACTTTGGTAGTTTCGCTGATGGTAGTAAGCCATCTACCACTCTGTAAGTAACTCCTAGTAAATGCATTCACTTGCCCAGCTGGGCTTGTCTGGATTATTCCTTGGTCTGTCCGCAATGTCTCAAACCGGAGGCAGGTGTTTCTTTTACATCTCCTGGAAAATCACAGAACATGGGCCAACCTCATGGTTAAATGATAGTGGTAAGAGAGGCCCTGGGTATTGTCCTTTTGGTCTGGAATGGTCTTGTCTTATGCTCTTGCCTCCATCAGACGTGGGCCAGCCTTACAAAGGGCAGGCATCTGCTGACCCCATAGGATGATGGTGCCAGATACACAAAAATTCAACAACCTTTAGGACAAGTTGATTGTAACTACTCGGTGGTCCAAGTCTATCACAAAAAGAAACATTTTTTGGAACCATGCCCCTGGCTAATGGGAATCACTGGGTTTTTAGCCCACCACAGCAAATCAACAAAAAACTTGCTGCTGTCTTTGCTTTGGAAGCTGTATCTTGGGCACTCTTAACCAATTGCTGGCTCCCTTCACCCAAAGCCCCAATTTGGCTGATGGCCTTCCCTCAACTCCCAATAAACTTTTGCCTGTGTTGGAATGTGTTCTTGTTTCTACCATCTCTGAATCAAATGATGCCATCCTCCTGTATCACACAGATATTCTAATTTCAGCATTCCTTCAATAGTTATTATTAAATTACTGGATTTTTTATTCACTGTGGTATGATTCTGTGCTCTATTGTCCCACTCTTCGCCAAAGGGAGCCCCTTTGTATTTACAATTCTGAGCTCCTCTTTTAGCAAATGCCGGGCAGATGGTCGCAGCAGATGGTCGTGGCTCATGGAGCAAAGTCTTGGTGTTAAAAACTTCCTTTTTTTCTGAAACAACCAAAGAGATCTTCTCTGTCCCAGGCCTGAATTAACCATTGTTGGCTGGAGATGTTTGAGCAGAAACCTGAAGGAATGGAGGGAGCAGCCCCTTTGCACTTGGGGGATGAGAACTTACCCCAAGGGAACATGTTGGGACTGAATGGATGAGCACATATAATATGCTCGTGCTTTTCTAGAGTTTCCAAATTTTCTGTTATGAACAAGCATTAATGTAAATGGAAAGACAGTGGTCAAAGAAGTGAAAATGAGTTAAAATTAGAAGTAGCATTGCAAAACAGAAGGAAAAGCAGTTCTAGCAATAAAGGTAAGACAGTGAATTATTTATACAGGGAAAAAAATTCTTGCCTTTGGTGAGCTGACTGAACAATATGGAAAGAAACTGATAAACGGCTGGTAGAGAATCGAGACAAGAGCCTTGGAGAAGCGATATGCCAATGTTTGTAAAGTTGAATGTCTGCATATCCTATTACTCATCAAAACTGCTGGGGAAATTGGCAACGCGGCGCCAGGAGACCCTTGGAGTTAAAAAAACAAAACAAAACAAAACAGCAGTGTCAGTGTGCATGTTGGCAAAACGCTGCAAATTTATATGCCCATCCGTAATTGGATGGATTAACTGTGTTGTAAACCTGTGATGGAGTGGCAAACCCCTGAAAAGTAATCAAAAGAAAGTAGTTAGCATTATTACAGGGGAAAAAACAGTTTGCAGAAGCACATTAAAGCGTAATTTACAGTTTTTTAAAAGCAAAGCGTCTCTCTTGCTTAGGATTACCGAACACGTGGCTCCCAAGAGATACACGTGGAAGTCAGAGCGCTGCAGGCAAAAGGAGGTGCGGATGCTCACAAGGAGCAGTGCGTGGTGGATTGATAAGTACTGATAATGTATCCCTTTCTTCAGCTGTCTGGCAGGTGCGCCGGTGGGAGTGTTATCAAACAGGATATGCGGAACCCTTCGATTAAAAGGAGCTGAGCTGTCCTGGGCAAACGCGCTACCCCGATTGCCTTGTAAGGGTTGTGGGAAGGGGTGAATAATAAAACAGAGGGGTGGAGCAGCCTGGCAGGCCAGCCCCTTCTGCAGGGCGATGCACTCCCAAACTAACCCGCGGTTCCGAGGCTTCCTTGCTGCGCAGGCGCGTGGTGGAGCTCTGGAAGCCGAGAGGGACGCCTCGTGGGCGGGCCCCAAAGCGGAGGCTCTGCTGCTCCCTACGGAAGGGTAGGCGGGGTTATCGGGGAAAGGACGGGGCCTGAGACTGTGGCTCTGCAGGTCTCTGACCGACCCTCGCTGGGCCCGAGGGCGGGGCGGAGTCAGAGGGGAGAGCCGGAAAGGCGGGCGTCCGGATTGGTGGTCCGGCTAGGAGGACCCCTTCCCCCCTCCCGCGGTTCTCCTGACAAGCTGCTAGGAGACTGCGGCCAGGATGGGTCGGAAAGTGACCGTGGCCACCTGCGCGCTCAACCAGTGGGCCCTGGACTTCGAAGGCAATTTGCAAAGGATTTTAAAAAGTGAGTCTGGGGGCTGGGGATTTAGCTCAGGGGTTCCGGCGCCTGCCTTGCAAGCGCAAGGTCCCGAGTTTGATCCCCGGTACCAAAAAAATAAAAATAAATTAAAAAAATAAAAAGTGAGTCTGGGGGTGGTGGGGACGGGGCGGGGCTTGTCATGACGCTCTCACAGCTCTGCCAAATTCGCAGCGTGGGGAAAGATAAAGACTTCGCCTGTGACCAGTGCCCAGGTCCGGCAGGTGTGTGGGGGAAGGAGCGTTTACAGTGGCCGGGGAGCACACGGTGTAGAAAGTGAAGAGTTGAGAAAAATCTGGCGTGGAGTTGGAGGTGAGAGATCTGAAGACTTATTGTCTCCAGATATCTCTAGGGGATCCTGTGAGGAGGCGGGGCAAGGCTGCTGTTCCTTGGAGTTGAGTATGTTGGGCAGGGGGTGAAGATGTGGCTGTTATGCACAGAGCAGGGATTGGATAGTCTGGTCCCAGAAGAACTTCCTGGTGGGTGAATAGTGGGAGTAGCTGGGGAAAAAAAGGGAAGTGGAGGAAGGAGTGAGCTGGCAGAAGAGTGTCATTGTTGAGTGTCACTATATAATTGGCATTCATGTCGACTCACCTTTGACCATGAAAGATCACTGTTCACACCTGTGCCGAAACTGGGGCTGCCCTGGGAAGCCTGCACCACAGCCTGTCTTGTGCTGGACTACTGACTGTAGGAGGGCTTGCTTGAGCAACAGAATAGTGTTTTAACTGATAGGATCTCATTAGCTGTGTGCCTTGGACCATAATCATTTTTTTTTTTTTGGTTGACCATCATCCTTTTTAAAAATTCAGAAAAATATATATATATCAACTTGCTTTCATTTTGCCAGAGTGAATCTTATTGGAGTGAAGAGAGGCTGTCCTGGGTGGCCAGAGCTGTGTGCACTCATCTGGCCTCTCTTCCCCTGCTGCTACCTAAATCTATTGCTGGTTCCTGGTGCTGACCCTGCCCCATGGGCCATAAACCTTCAAGTTGAGCCTCTTCCCTACAACTGTTCTTGGTATCTTCCTGCTAATAAAGTCTACCAGGATGTGACCTCTTCCTTCTTGGTGGTAAGGGTCAGCCAGAGAGGCCTCCCTATTTCTCATTTCCTGCAAGGTGTGTGTCAAACTCTGCTGCTTGGTTCTTAATAGGAGCCAATGGGTCAAGGACATCACAGCACATTTTTCTTATCATAGTACTGTAGCAGGATTTTTAATCTGCCTTTGAACATTCGAAGCTGCTGAGATTGTCCCTTTTTCTCTTTCTGGACATACAGGTATTGAAATTGCCAAAAGCAGAGGAGCAAGATACAGGATTGGACCTGAGCTGGAAATATGGTGAGAGTGAACAAACAAACACTCCAGACTGGGCAGAACAGATAGTGATGTCTGTGTCAGCTTTTCCCAATTGAAAAGGCAGAAAGGAGAGGAACAGTCCTGAGGTGGCAGAAATGCCAAGGCCACTTAGGAAGCCATCAGGAACACGAGTGTGCACCTGGTTAATGCCATTGAGCACTGGAACAAGAGCAGTTCTCTGGGTAATTACAGATTCTTGTGTTGGGTAAATAGGTGAACTGAATTTTTATCAGCAGGGCTTATTTCAAAACTGAGCTGCCCCTCTTTTACCTTTACCCTTCTGCTACAAGTATTTAAGGCCTGCCAGCAACTCCCATATTCATATGTTGAAATCTAATCTTTAGGTAATGGGGCTAAAAGGTGCTGCCCTGGGGAGGTGATTAGATCAGGCTGAATGGTATTAGTACACTTACGAAAGAAGTGTAGAGATCTTATTTGCCCCTTGTACCAGGGGAGGCCACCTAGAAAGTGCCATCTGTGAAGGAGAGAACAGCCCTCACCAGCCACCAAATCTTCTGGTGCCTTTATCTTGCACTTCCCAGCCTTCAGAATGGTGTACAATAAATTTCTGTTGTTCATAAATTAGTCACTCAAAAATATTTTGTTATAGCAGCCCAAATGGACTATGACACCCTCCCAGGTTTTCACTTTAATATTTAGCTATTAAAAGGTTTCATTCTGGGGCTGGGGATTTAGCTCAGTGGTTCAAGGACCCAAGTTCGATCCCCGGTACCAAAAAAAAAAAAAAAGACGGCTTCATTCTGTAAGCAGCTTCCCATAAGCCAACATAACAATCACTTGAACTATGTTCTTTTGCAAGAATCAGGAAAACTAATTTCTTTGTTCTCTTCTGGTCTCTCATTAAAGATA